AGAAGGGAGGAGCGGGACAGAAAGACAGAGAGAGAAAAGAGAGATAGAGACAGAGAGAGACACAGAGAGAGACAGAGAGAAACAGACAGGCAGAAGGAGACAGAGACAGAGAGAAGAGCAACCAGTAGCAAAATCACCACATGGGAGAAAACTTCAGGATGGCTTAATAGAGAAACACACACATTCCCTTGGCCTCTGCCTTGGCTAGGACCATGGCAGCTCTTACTGGCTCCTCCCTCCACTGCTGAGGCCTCTTAGCTAGCTTTATTATTGCTGCTGAGGCCCTTGGAAGAATAGAATTTAGAGCTGGAAGGGGTCACTTTAGAAATGAAGAAGACTGAGGCCATGAGAGGTCAGGTGCTTTGTCCAATGTCACAAGGCAGCAGGTAACAGAGCTGGGATTTGACCACCAAAGCCAGGATTCTTCTCCCCAATGCCACATAATCTGCATTCAAATATCATCTTTTTGAATGAAAAAAATGGAAAAGCATTGATTCAGTGTTTGCTGTGTGGCCAGACACTGTGCTAAAGCAGTGGATACAATTTTTGAAGGGATTTAAATTCAATTTTATTTAAGTGGCATCATTTTTTTAAATGAAAAACAAGACATACATAATATATCTATTACAGGATTTAAAGAAACTTCTTCTCTGATTTAGGATCATAGATTTAGAGCTAGAAAAGACTTTGGAAATAACTTAGTCCAACTCCCTCATTTTGCAAATAAGGGGCCTTTGAGATTATATAATGTGCTCCACTAGTTCTAGAGATGAGGAAACTGAAGCCCCGAGAGGTGGGCCTCAGTGGCTTGCCTAAGGTAACAACAGGGAGTAAGTAGAAAAACTTGAGTTCATACTCAAAAATAAAAATGGGGGTCATTCTTGAAGGGAAGGAATATGAGATACTAGCTGCCCAGCTCTTCCTCTATCCTCACGTGACATTTACTTAACACACTGTTAGTTCCTGAAAGCCTGATCCCCTAAAGCCCATATTCCTGGTAGTTCCACCCCATGACCCTTTACTCAGTAGACTGGCACCATGGGAATTTGCCTAGCCTGCTAACTGAATACATACTGTTCAGTCATTTCAGCCGTGTCTGACTCTTTGTAACCCCATTTGGAGTTTTCTTGGCAAAGATACTGGTGTGGTTTGCCATTTCCTTCTCCAACTGATTTAAAAGATGAGGAAACTGAGGCAAACTAGGTTAAGTGACTGGTCAGGGTCACACAGCTAGTAAGTGTCTGAGGTTGGATATAAATTCAGGAAGATGAGTCTTCCTGATTCCAGGCCCAGTGCTCTATCTACTGTGCCACTTTGCCCAAATCTTAGGTTGGAAAGATACTCTTAGATCTAGGATTTAAAGCTGGGATGGGATCTCAGAGGCAATCTCTCGTCTGACCTCTTCCATTTTATAGATGAGGGAACCAGTGCTCAGAAGAATTAAGTGACTTGCACAAGATCACACAGCTACTAAGGAGCAGAGTCAAGATTCAAACTCAAGTCCTCTGAGCTGAATCCAGTGTTTCCTAAAGCATGGCTTCTAGAGATTCATTCATCCTTCAGCTATTTCATACCCAAAGTGGAGATAGAGAAAAGAATGCCACACCCCTCACCAGTGTGCTCCCAAGTTGGTCTTCATTTTTTAAAAGCCATCCACATCCCCCAAAAATACCATCCTCTAATAACTCAGTTTGGATAGACTTTTTTGTTCTCTTTCCTGGGACATCTTCCCCTTTCTCTTCTAACCCGAGCTTTCTAATTTCACCCTTTGTGGAACATCTTCTTTTCAATGCAGCCGTCTTAGACGCACAGCTCTCTCTTTGAGTGGCTGTAGGCCAGGAATGGGAGGGGGAAGGGAGAGAGAGCCATGGAGGAAGAACTAACATGAGACCGGAACAAGAACACAAAATAGGAGGCTAAAGAAAAAGAAAATCCTGCTGCTTGGTACCACTTATGAGAGACATCCGCCCTATTGTGCTGTTGATGCCACTGTGACTAACACGAAAGAACTAAAGAATTCCTGTCCCAAGTGGTGAACAAACAGCCACGGGAACTCTTCACTGCAAGGGCAGGAAAGCAGAGATAGTTCAAGTTGTGATTCAGACCAACAAATGAAAGGGAAGGGGTGGGAGGTCGAAGCTTCAGACTTGGGATTTGGGTTGAACACGGACTGGCCCATTTTTGATTGCATGGTGAACGGTTGTAAATTGGCATCGACCTAATGAATTGGTGCATGTGGTGGAGTAATTAAATTTTCTCTTGGGTTTCAGGAAAGAGTGGGCAAGGATAGAAGGGGCCCAGTTCAGGACTTGCAGCTAATATTTTCTTTCTCCTTTAAATAGTAACTGGCTGGTTACCTCAGTGAGTCGGTGTATGGCACTGATGAAGCCAAGGTCATGGCTTTAGTTCTCATGAAAGCTGTTATTTTCCCTGCATTCCATCTTGTGAATGGGTACTGTTAGTCATAAAGGAAGGATAAAAGGAAAAAAATATTATTTTACCTCTCTGGGCCTCAGTTTCCTCATCTATCAAGGGTTGAATGAGACCAGAGGTTCTCAATGCGGTCTGCAGACCCCTGTCCATGATGCCAAAACTATTTTCATAATAATAAGATGATATTTATAAAACAACACAAAGAAGAGCTCTTTGGGGTCCTTGATAATTTTTAAAAGTATTTTTAAGGCTCTGAGACCAAAAAGTTTGAGAAGCACTGTATTAGATGATCTCTAAAGCCCCTTTCTGCTCTAGAATTCTATGATTCTCTATGAATCCATCATTGAAAACCCTAGTGATATTAGAGTTACATGTAAGGGTTACAGATGGAGAAAATACTTGATTTTATTTTTATAAATGTTAGTAGGAGTTTATTCTGAGTCAGAATGATCAATAGGGACACTCCTGAGAGTCCTGAAAGGAAGGTGATCATAATATAATAATGAAGGGACTAGAAACAATGTCACAGGAGATTAGCCTGAAGGTAGAGGAAAGATGGTGACAGATATCAGGAAGGACCCAGAAAGCCAGTCCCTAAGATTCAACAATTTTTGGTCATCAACTTTGTTTCGTTGTGAGAGTCGTGGGAAGCAGACAAGTGGAGAGAGATTTACAGACAACTCCACACCTTTATTCTAAACCTTTTTTTTTCAGTGCTTAGCCCAAATGTTTTTCATACTTATGTATTAAATTGTAAAAAGGACTTCAGAAGTCATGTTATAATGCCTACCTAAAACACGAATGTCACCTACAGTGGCCCTAAGAAGGGCTCTTTTAGCCTCTGCTTAAAGACCTGCCAGGGCAGGGAACTCATTATATCTGGAACTGAATCCTTCTACTTTGGGACAGCTTGAATTTTTAGGAAATTTTTCCTTATGTTGAGCAGAATTTTGCCTCCTTGTAACTTCCACCCACTGCATCTAGTACTATAATCTCTGAATCTAAGCAAAATAAATGAAATCTCTCAAATGATAATAATTCTTCAAAATGATTGGAAACAATTATTATCTTCTTTTCATCTGGCTAAGTATACCTACTTCCTTCAACTAATCTCCTTGTGATATAGTTTCTGTACCCCTCAGCTTCATCCTCTAGGAGCTTTCAGGAGCCACTACTCTCAGGAGTGTTCATATTTAGGCATGGCACAAGATCTTGATAACATTCACAAAAAATAAAATCGAGAATTTTCCTCATCTCTAAAATGAGGATGTTGGGCTCTTCTAGCTCTAACATACTGATTCTAGGAAGCAAAAGGAAATGCAATTGAATAGATATTTTTGTGAGACTCTCAGACTCGTAAGGAAGGATGAATGGATAGAAGACAACCAATAATGTTAACAGATCTTTGGAAACATTAATAGCTGTTTTTGTGCCCATTATATACAAAACATAGCACAGTCTCTCTTTTTAGGAACTAACCATCAGAAATGTCTTGACACGTTAATTTCATACAGGTCCTATATGCAAATAATCAGTCCTTAGTTCTTATGATTATTTCAAACTCTCTGTTTTGTTTCCATTATCTTTTAGTTAGAGTGCATCCTGTATTCTAGGGCAGTTGGAAGAACTTGGAGTCCTTGCCCACCCTTCCTCATGCAAATGGCCTCCTGCCAGAAGTGGAATCCAAAGACAGGAGTTGGAAATTAAGGGAGGGTAAAAGTTAAGAGTTATACAATGTTAGGATGTAGGACTTTAGAAATTATCTCATTGAAACCCCATATGAGAAAACTGAGGTCCAAAGAGAAAGTGTGACCTTGCTCTAGTTAATTAGTTTGGTAGGTGGCAAAGGGGTTCTCACCATTGGGTACTGCGAACCAGGAGATGGAGTGAGAGGAGACCCAAATGATGGAACAGATTGTCTAGGTTAGCAGCAGCCAAGTACCAGGGGTAGTCAAGATTGGCAGAGGGAATTAAACTTGAAACCTGGTTAGCTATCTATTGAAATTGCAGTTAGGTCAGCAGGTGATTGGAATAAAAGCTCAAAATATGCAGAAAGCATTTATACATACAGTGGTGCCCATTTTGAAGGAAGTTAATGGTACTCAATCTACTTAAATCAGCCCAATATTGGGCTAAAGGGAAGCCTAGGCTATTCTGCTAAGAATGTAATAAGACTTTCACATACACACCCTCCCTTCACTAAATAGTAGTAACCTGTGAAAGAATTTCATTATACTTTCCCTGTCCCAGCCCAGCATTACTGAAGATTGGATTTTTATTTGGGCTAATTTCAGAGATGTGGAATCTACTTAACAGGCAGAAAAAATGGCTGGTACATTCTTTGAGCCAACTGATGCTGACCTACTCTTTGAGCCTAATATAATTGGATCATTTTGTCCATGTTTTGATTAGGTGGGAGACCAAACCCTCAAAGCATGTATGAGCCAAGTCCCAATATTGGGGAGCAGGGAGAACATGGGGTGGGGAGAGCTACTAATTGTCTTCCCATAGAAGCATTCAGTTGATTTATTCTTTAAAACAAATCTCCTTGTGTTTGCCTTTACCAGGGATGGCTGCCCTAGATAGTAAGGCCTCAGGGAAGATGGGAATGAGAGCAGTGGTCTATTACATGACCACAACAATCATTGCTGTGGTGATTGGCATAATCATTGTCATCATCATTCATCCCGGGAAAGGCTCAAAGGAGAACATGCACAGAGAAGGCAAAATTGTGCAAGTGACAGCTGCAGACGCCTTCCTTGACTTGATCAGGTATGTCCTTGCAACAAAGCTTGTATGTATGTGGTGATTCACTACAGAGTCACACAAGACCTCTCTTATTTCCCAGGATCAAAACCTGGATGAGGACTGGACATGTGTGAAAGGCTACATGATGCCACTTTTCATGTGAAACATCGTTTTGACATGTCATTCTTTCTTTTTCTCTCTTCTCTTTCTCTTCACCTAAACCACTCATCCCCTAATGAAATAAAGATACATTGGACAAATCAAGTTAAAGGGGGGCCCTGACTTCAAAGTCCATAGCTGGATCATCCCATTCCAAATTCCACTTTTGCTACTTATTATGACATTGGGCAAGTGGCTCAATGTCTAGGGACCAGATCAGGAGTTCTTAACCTTGGGTCCATGAGCATGATTTTTAAATATATATATATATATATATATATATATATATTTTAATAACTGCATTTCAAGACAGTTAGTTTCCTTTGTGATATGAGGCATTTAAAAACATTATTTTGCGAAAGGGGCCCACAGGCTTCACCAGACTACCAAAGAGGTTCACGAAACAAAAAAAAGGTTAAATATTCTAGATACACTCTAAGATCCTATTAAGCTCTAAAGCTACGAACCTTCTTATATTTGTGGAGTACCTTCTTTCCCACATTCACCTATGAAGCCCCTTTTTGGATATCCAGAAGTTTCATCTTCCCCATATTCACAGGTCACCTAAGAACTCCAACCCCATGTACATATTCACACAGTGAAACTTCATAAGTTTGCTGCTAAGTGTGAATCTCTGATGATGGCATTTGGGCAAGGCTGAAGTTAACCTTTGTTTTATTTTTGAAGGAAGGTCTTACCTAAGGAAACTAGTAATATAACATGTATGGGATCCAAATATATGAGGCATGCCTAGAAGATAACAGTTTTTAAAGACTTCAGTAGCATCCATGTATACACAAACTGCTGATTACGTATGACTCTTATCAGTCAACAAAGGAAGGGTATGGCATGTCTGGCTATGGACCATTGGTGAGGCTGAGTTATTGACTCACCAGTGTCCTCTACTGGTATCTCTCTGTCACCACCTCTCTGATTAAAGCAGATGCCCTGCTTTGCCCTTAAGAGATATAACCTTTTCCCTATTCTTTGACCTGCTCCCTGCAAACAGCGTGCAAGTCTTCTTTACTTTTTTTATGGAATTCAACAGGGAAGCCTAGAAGTTAAAAAATAACAGGACAAGAAAAAGAATACAGACATATAGACATCTCAATAATCTTAGTCTTATACAAAGGTACAAGAATCTAGGCCTTGTTCTTTCTTTATTCTCCTTCTCCTATTGGACTGAAGAGATATCATGGTATAATAGAAAGAAATCTAGATTTGGAGCCAGAATACCTGATTTTAAATCCCAGCTCTCCCACTTCTTAGCTGTGTGACTACTTGAGCAAGTCATTTGACATCTCTGGACCTCACTTTCCTCATCTGTAAAAGGAGGGGGCTATATAACCTCTAATGTCATTTCTATGCCTAGATCTATCATCCTATGAACCAGTGTTTATCAACTCAAATAGAAATGCGGGCCATTTAACCTAGATGAGGATCCCTGTGGTCCAATATTAATTTAGAAAACCACATATTAACATTGTGTTAAATTTTATTAAACATTTCCCAATTACATTTTAGGGCCAAATGTGACCCATCGCCACATTTGACACCTCTGCTGAAAACCATTTCTTTAAGATTTTGTCCTCAGAAGCACAATCCTGTTTGGGCTGGAAGCTAGATCAATCACTCAGATTTTTAACTAATTGGATTATAGGATCATAGGATCATAGATACAAAATTAGAAGGAACCATGGAAGCTATCTTGTCAAGCCTCCTCATTTTACAGATGAGGAAACTGAAGCCCAGAGAAGTTAACTTACTTGCGCATGATTGCCCAGGAAGTCAGTGGGTGAGTCTGGACTTCAGCCCAAATATTTTAACTCTCAATCCAATTCTATTTCTACTATAACATGATAGATTTGGTTGGTCAAAGTTATTATGTTTCTCTGCCCTTCTATGCTGAGAAACAACATATACTCCTCAGTCTAGTTACAGGTATGAGAATCTCAGGCCTCAGATTGCACCTCCTCCCCTTGGCTTCAAGACTGTAAGTAACCTCTTTCACCCATAATCCTCTCAGCTTTGAACTAGTCAGGGTCCTATTCTTAGTCCCCTGGCTCCATCAAATAAGAAGACTCCCTCATTCCCTTACTTGGCCTACAAAAATTTCTCCTCCTGATCTTCTAATCTCTGGGAATAAATTCTCACAGCTGCTTCACTTAGCTCTTGGTGATCTCAATAGCCTCAGATCTTAGACCTTGTTTCTTGTCATGACCCAGCTTCTGTTTACTGAAGCAAATTCTCTAATCAGATGTAACAACTTGATCTTCCCTTTAGGTAAAGTGTGGCCCATCCATTTATTGTCTTTCCCCAGAGTCTGGGATCTACTCCTTGAGCCCATGTGGCCTGTGGCACTGTAATATCTGCCCAAGGCTTTGATTATCCATGCTGTCCTCAGCACAATCTTGAAGACAACTTTATTCTTTCTTATTCAGGTTCCTGAGCCCAGTGGTGAATTTCCCATAAAGTTCCTTCTTCTGGCTTTCCCTGATCCATAGTTCATTGGTAGTACTGAGGTGATGGGCATCCACTGGGACCAATCAACAGTGGGTACCTTATTCTGAATCTGCCCAAGTTCACGTAACTAAGTTGCTAAAGTACGGCTGAATTTGAACCATAGTCCAGAGAAGCCCAGGTATTCTGGGAGAGTCTTGATTTCAAAGATTCAGCTTTAGTCCCCATAAATTAAATGACTGATTAAATCCTTTGTTAGACCAGCTATTGTCCTGATTTTGAGTTCAGGAAATATGGTAACCGTAGTCATAACCTAAGATCTCCTCCCAACAAGTTTACCGCAATAACAACAAAAGATCTTGACCTGAATAATAGTGTTAATAGATTTTCCAACAGTTCTCTGGAATTCTCTTCTACTTAAAGGATCACAGATTTAGAGATAGTTAAGCACCTCAGAAGTCATCTAGGATAACCCTCTCCTTTTACAAATGGAGAAACTGAGGCCAAGAGGGGTTAAATGTGTTGCTCAAGGTCATATAGGTAGTAAGTTGTGGTCAGAATTGAATTGAAGACCTCTGACATCAAATCTAACACTCCACTGAACCAAACACAGGTTTATATTTTTTAAGAAGACTACATGTAATAATATTATATCATCATATCCCCCTCATGAATAAGGAGAAGATCATTTCACCATTCTGGGCCAATACCAAATGCAACTTTGGGGGAAATTATAAAGCATGTTACGTTTGCCTGTGGAAAATGAAACAGGCTGACCTGCCAGCTCTCTCTGTGCTCTTGTATGTAATAACAGCACTAATAATAGAACTTCACCCCAAGGCTAAGACTTTGAATTTTTTCCTTCCTCCTTTGCCTCCAATGATGTTCATAGTAAGCCATGTCCCTTGAAACTTTAAGCCTGGAATCTCCTAGATTTCAGTATTGCTGTTAGTGTTCATGGAAACACTAGCACGGATTGTAACATTGAAAGCAATGGTGACCATTGAAAAGGGGTCAAAGATCTGAGCCTGGTGCTCATGCTGGTACAGTGGATTGGGTGGCATATTAAAAAAGTTCATTTCAAACTACTGTTCATAACCTTAAAAAGTACCCGGTAGCATACTATGGGCTCTCCAAATCCTCTATATAAGCCTCCATCCTCTCATAGATGTCTTACATTACAGATGTCAGAGCCAGAAAGGACCTTCAAAATCATTTTGCACAAGAGGCAAATCAAGGCCCTGAGAGGTAAAGGAATTTGTCTAGGGTCATACTTCCTTCTCCTGAATTCTACTTCATTCATGGAGGAGGCAAACATGGCATGATGCCAAAGTGATCACAACACATTGACACCTCAGTGAATCAGACTACTCTTGAGGATGGGAAGGGGTTTGAAATCCAACAGAGATGTCATCTATTCTATATTATTTCTCACGGAAGTTGTTTCCATTCTCTTTGCTGGGCATTCAAGGCCCTTTACTATCTCATGGCACCTCACCTTTTCAGCCTTACCTCATATATTTCTCTATATGTACACCACCCTCCAGTCAAATTCTGGGCCTTCATTTCCCATCTGCAAATTGACAGTGTTGGTCCCTTCGGCTCTAAGTCTATGATTCTGTTGCTTCAAATATCTCTTTATTTTATAACTTTCTAACGTGCTCATCATATCATATTAATATTATGTATTGTAGCTATGTGTGTTGGTATCTTATCCCCTTACCAGACTATAAGCTTCTGCTCTGTCTTAACTAAACTAGATCCCCTTTAGCACCCAGCACAGTGCTTTGTATGCAAAAGGCACTTAAAATTTTGTTGCCTAGGTATGACCACTTGCCCCTCTGATGGCATCTCCCCCTAGCTCCTTTTTCTTACCTCCATCCCCAGCCCACTGCTGGCATAAATCAAATCAACTTTCATCTTTGAAAAGGTGAAGAGGTGGTAAAGGAATATAACTGAATTTTTTCAGGATATTCTCCCAATGATTTCCTTTCTCTCTTCACAGGAACATGTTCCCTCCCAATCTGGTGGAAGCCTGCTTTAAACAGGTAAAAACCTAATGGCTATTTATTTTACCTTTAAAATTCTTCTCAGGTACTTTGCTGGTATCAGCATCATAGCCAAACAAGCATCACGGCCAAGAAGCCGTACCAAGTAGCATAGGAACCAGATGCTCTTGTTCATTTCACTCCCGGTATAGCAGATGGTGGAGAGTCACCCAGAAAGAGAGAAGCTGACCCAGAGACAGCCCACCTGATATCCTTTTATGGGTACAGTAAGGGCATCCAGGAGCCCCCCAAAAATCCAGCAAGTGAATTTTTGCTGTTGTTGCTATTTGGACCTGTCTTTTCATTTATTTAGAGAACTCTTGGTAAGGAAGCTCCCTCTCCCAGTGCAGATCTTCAATTGTTCTGCAACTTACTGCTTTCACAAGTTGTCTGGGACCCAGAAAAGCTAATTAACTTGACCAGGGTCAAAAGCCAGTATGTGTCAAAGGTGGAATTTGAACTCAGATCTTCCTGACTCAGAGGCCAGTTCTCCATACATGATACCCTGTTTCTACGAACATTGTGTGCATGTGTGTGTATGTGTGGGGTGCGTGTGTGTGTGTGTATATATATATATACACACACACACACTCCCACATACACACATATGTATGTATGTATATATACATATATGTGTGTATATTTTTGTATTTATATATATATGTATATATATATATATATATATATATATATTTAAATAGTAAGATGATATTGTGGAAAAGGAAATGGCAAATCACTCCAGTATCTTTGCCAAGAAAACACCAAACATAAAGAGTTGGACATGACTTAAAAAAACAGCTCAACAGTAACAGTACAAGGTGCTCTTGGGGGCTTTCTAGGCTTCTGTGTTTGCTTACAGGCAGTAGAGAATTGAAAGGAAATTTGGAGCCCTAGAGGTGCCGAGGTTACAATGCTACTATGCCAGGAAATATTCAGGGTGGCAGGAACACCTTGCGGCTGCAGCAGAGAGGAAGCAAATATCTAGTTTCTCTGAAATAAGTGAGCAAACTTCCTGTTATGGCAGATGATAGCCGCCTTCATTGTACAAGAAAATGAAGGAACTAAAATAGGGAACTCTTGATTCTCTATATCAGCAGCTAGAAGCTATGGTCTCTCTTGACCAGTGACCCAATCTTGACTAGTGATCCTCTCTTGACTAGTGACTCTCTCTTGACTCTAGGATAAAATACAAATGACTCTATGTGGGATTTAAATCCTTCTACAACCTACTTCTTTCCCATCTTTCCCAACTTATTTTATATCCCTCTGCTTCATGCGCTATACATTCCAACTGAATTAGTCTACATACTGGTCCCTGAAATCACTATTCCATCTCCCATGGCCATAATTTTGTATGGCTGCCTCCCATGCCTGGAATGTACTCCCACTTGCCTCTGCTTCCTGTAATCTCTAGTTTCCTCCTCCTCTGCAGAAATTATTTTGCATTTAATTTACTTCTTGCATGTTTTGTATCTAGTTATCTGTATTCATGTTGTTCCCCACAATAGAATGTAAGCTCCGAGGGCAGGGACTATGCATAGCACAGTGCCTAATGCTCAAGTTATAAATAAATACTTGTTGAATGAATGAAGGAATGGTGACTCTCATGGAGCTTACAATCTAATATGACAGATATATTAAAAGATATGAACAATTCAAGGAAGCATGAATGTGAAACCACAGCAGGCATCTTGCCCTTTAGAGTGTTGAGAAAGAAGCAGCTGGATCCAATTTAGAATGCTAGCAAAGGAAAAAGATATATCTGTGTCTATATTTTTAATTTAATGCAGAGATTGGAGAAGGTGGGGGCCAATTCTGGTTTTCGGAACTCATAGAATCTTAGAGTTGGAAAGGACCTCACGTCATCATTTACTTTGTAGTAATAACAAGCCAGTTCACTTTCATTTTCATGTCATTTCATTTAATCTCAATAAGTATTAAGTTTTGTTGTTGGACAAAGACACAGAGCTGTAACTAGGGTAGGGCAAACAGAATGCCCCGTGTAGCTAATACCTGGAGGCATCTGTTTCCCTATGGTCGTTTTTTTTTTCAAATTTCCAACTCTTAGCCCTGTTTAATCAACCTTTCCCCAGGCACTGGTTATAGTCCTGCTGATGCATACCTCAACTTCCATCAGAAGTGGTGAGGCTTTTTTTATGACAATGTTTATGGTCCATAGCAGGAATGCTGAATCAGGAAGCCAAGATTTCTATGTATGCTATTTATTGATATATTTTTTAAAACTGATGCCCCATATCATTTTTCTGTATGCTGGGCTGTAATCTCTGTGACCCTGACTTTGACTTTCTATTTTCCAACATAGCAGTCAGGCAGCTGGATGACTGTGAGCTGCCAAGAAAGCAGATGTTTTCAAAAGTCAACTACAAAGAGATGTGTTACTTGGGTTTCACTGTAAGAGGAGGTCCAGTTCCCACTGATATGCAGAAACTTGATATAGAATTTCCACCTTATGGGATTGATAACACAAGGAATGTCCTCCTGACTTTCAGCGTGGGATCTTTAGATGTGACAATTGTTAATGCCCAAGCCCTACGCTGCCAGCTCAGGCCAGCCCCTTGGGGCACCTCAGTGTTCTCCAATATATGGGGTTTTGATCTGATGGAATTAGGAAATCATAGAGAAGCTCAAAATTACATAACTTCAAGTAATAGGTAAAACATGGAGAACTCATTTCCCTCTTCATAATGTTCATATATTGAATTGATATATATCAGGGGATTGCTGTACAGTATTTGCTACCCATCCATTTAGGAATTATAATTCAAAACAATGCTTTTATTCAGATGAACAATACATCCTTTTCAGGTGTTTCTGTTATTAGTTTGGGCTACTTAACCCCCAAGCCAGGAAAATGTAGGCAAGAATGTAATTGCCTTTTATTTCCCCTGAGTTCAGAGACAGTCAACCTGATTCCTCTCATTTGTTAGGTTAAGTTGAGCTTTTGGAAAATGTATGAATTCTTACAAACACCAGGAGGTCCCCATGGCCCATGAGTGTGAATGCCATTCCAAAGTGCCATGTTTTTGTACCTTGTCCTCCTGTCTAGTTACAAACAGACCTCAATAAACAAGGCCACAGAGAGCAGGGTTCCATTCTTCTACTTTCCTTAAGAAATACACATTTAATGACAAGCCTTCTTTTTTAACTTTGACCCTCAGGATTAGGCTGGAACCCTCTCAAAAGCTTTACCACGGGCCAATACAAGAACACCCCACTGAGTCAGAATTAAAAGATATCTTTCCCTATGCTTCCTTCAGGGGTTACATTCATCTCTGCAGAAAAGCTTACATGAATTTTGGATTTGGCCCCATGAACAGGATGTTATTTGGGGTGGATTTATTTATTTAAGTAGAAGGACAGCTTTAACTTCAGTTTCTATTATTTTAAGATGAGCTATGAAATGGTTCCACAAAGCCAGGAGTGTCTAGATCTTGCTAGGGGGGTTTTGATTTTGAGCCATCTAAATGTCCTGCAATTAGGAGGCATAGTGATTTTCTTAGAACACCCAGTCATAGGTTTCACATTTCAGAATTTTTAAAAATATGTGTCATTCCCTGGATAAAAAAATAAAATAAAATGAGTGGGTGTGTGAAAGTGCCACTTAAGGTTGGACTGGCTCAGCTAACCTGTGCCAATAAGGCAGCAACTACATGAAGGTTCTTCAGACTTGGCCTGCCTCAGGGTCAATCTCCATGTCTTGTATGGTGCATGAGTAACTTTATTTTAATTGATATGCTTTGATTTTATATCACTTTCATTTCTAAATATCCCCATACCCTATCCAAAGAGCCATTTCTTGTAGTAATTTAAAAAAAAAAAAGGAGGGGGAAAAAACCAGTTCAGCATAGCTACTCAACAAATAAATTGAGTCTGACAGTTTATGCAGTATTCCACACTCATAGTCTTCCCTCTTTTTGGAAAGAAGGGAAGGAGGTACATTTTCCCTCTTATCTTCAGGACCACATTTGATTGTTATATTTACAGAACTTTTCATTTGGGTTTTGTCTCTGTTCTTTCTGCTTGCATTATTGTCTTCATGTGTATATGTGAATTCAAATAAAAAAAACATTATTAAGTGCTTACTATGTGTTAGGTACTGCGCTAAACACTGGGGATACAAGTAGGGAAAAGAAAGACAGCCCCTGCCCTCAAGGAGCTTACAATCTAATGGGGAAAGACAGCACACAAAGGAACTTGGAAAGTGGGGGAGGGGTGCCCAGAGAAGGGCCATGTTGTTGCAGTGAGTTAAACCCAAGTAGAGCCGCAAAGTCCAGGTCCTGTCCTCTCTGAAGGAAAGTTTTAGGTGGAGTTCGGTGTTCCATCCTCCTGCTCTCCAGACAGAGGGGAGAGGAGGCTGAAGGAGGGGAGAAGGTGCTGAATGTCCAAGTCAGTAGTACAGTGATCAGATCAGAAGTGATGAGCTTATCCTGGGAGACCATCTTGTCCTGTTTATTTCACATTTCATCAGCTCACGTAAGTCTCCACAGGCTTCTCTGGGCATGGATTCTTTATATAATATGAGGACTGGCTGGGAAAGGAGCTCCCCAAGCATATCTGTGGGTTGGCACCAGGCAGAGGAGATTGCATCTGCTTAAAGGATGGATCCTCATTGGCCAGTCCTCCATTACAATTATATTCATCATTTCTTATTGCATAATATTATTCTATTATATTCTTGTACTATATCTTTTTTTAGTCATTCCTCAATTGCTGGGCATCCATTTTATTTTCATTTCTTTGACAGTACAAAAAAGTGTTGCTAGAAATACTTCGGTCTATATAAGACCTTTCTTTCTATATTTGACTTCTTTGGTGTGCATGCCCAGGAATACGATTTCTGAGTTTGGACGTTTGAATCATTTTCTTTGCATAATTCACATGGGTAATTTTAAAGTCAGGAAAGAAAGAAGCAAGGAAAGTCTCTTATCACCTCCCAGTCTCCCACCTTTTAACCTTTTCTTGTACTGACTCTCCTGCCTCAGTGGCCCATTTAGCATCAAAAGGATGTAAGGGAGTGAACTCACTCACTGATATCCCTCCCTTTCTCTCAACTACCCTACCTTCCTCTCCACCCCAAGGAGACACTGCTTCCTTTGGAGGGCAATTTGGTGTAGCTGCAAGAGACTAGATTTTGAACTAAAGCCCTGGGTGTGAATTCTGGCTCTACTTGGATCTTCAGTTTCCTCTTCCATAAAATAAGGAGGTTGGACAAGATGATTTGTTATGTCTCCTTCTAGCTCTAGAGCTTGTAACTTCTCTGCCTAACATTTCCCTAAGCTACAGCCATTGCCCAAACTGGTTCAGGGGGAGTTTTGAGTCTGAAGATAGAGAGGATAAAAATCATACTTCTGTTAGGTTTTGTTTGGGAATGGGGTTTTGTTTAGAAGTCCCAGAACCCCCGGAAAGCTTCAGCCAGTTGCCTAATTGGGGTGTGCTAGAACCAGCTCAAACAGGCTCATGAACCAATTGGTAAATTTTCAGTGTATTTATATTTCAGAGATCAATAAACCCTACAAATCAGGACTTGATTTGTTATTTTCTTGATTATCTAGATTTAAGAAAGTAATGGAGAAAATATTAATTTCGATGATTGAGCTTAAAAGTGTGTTATGTATACAATTTTTAGGGGAGAACCAGTTGTTAAACATTTACCAGTACATTGTTGCCTTTGCACAGCTTACTTGAATGAGGCAAAGCCACCATGACAGTAATCTGTCTGACCCTAAGAGATTAATGAATACTTTAAAATGATGCTAGAAGACCTTGCAGATTCAAAACATCAGGAAGAACCTAGTGTATGCTCACTCAACAAGCCAGGAACATTCCCATGGTTCCAGGCTATTGGATAGAGAGAGGGTCATAAGGTAAAACTGCCAGGACTAAGGGTTCTAAGGGGTCAGGCTTTTAGGAACTGATCATGTCTTAAGTCAATGTCACATAGGGGTTGAGGAAGAGCTCTATAGCTGTTATTTCACATTGCTGCCCTGTAAGGATCATACCTATTCATGGGTCCCTTTGAAAAAATAGGTGTGATGTCATTTAGACAACACCAAAGAACCAACTTAGCAAAGTGGAGTCAATAGTGAATTAATAGTCACAAGTGCCTGAGTTCTTGTCTCAGCCCCACCAGCTAGTTTGTTGTTGTGGCCTCAAGCAAGTAATTTTATATCTCTGAGCCTCAAGACTCTCCCTCTATAAAATGGAAGACTAGATGATTTCTAAATTCCCTCCCCAGTTCTAATGTTCTATAATTCAGTAGCACTCTCCACAGTCACAAGCAAGAAGAATGGCTCATTTGAAGAGAAGGTAGACATCAGGGTACAGTAGACGGACCAATGACTCTGTAGGCCAAGGACCAGTTAAATTTTAAATTTTAATCCAGTTAAAATCCTAACTCTGACTCTATACATGTGACCTTGAGTGAGTCAGTTAATCTGGGTGAATTGCAGTTTTCTCATAGGCAAAATGAGATGGAATGAAAATGCATGGATCTAGATGGTCTCTGAGGTCCCTTTCAACTCTAAATCTAAGAATGGCATTTCTGTATGGTACACCTACCACCTCTTGTTTATTTCTTTTTTTGTTTTGTTTTGCTTTCTTTTGTCATTTTAGTTTAAGACTAACTATGAGAAGAAAAGCTTTAAGGTGCCTATGTCGCCCAATGAAACAATTTTAGCTTCTGTGATAAACAATGTCTCCGAGGCCATGGAAACCCTCACCCGTATAAAAGAGGAGATGGTCCCTGTCCCAGGGGCTGTGAATGGAGTGAACGCCCTGGGCCTGGTTGTCTTCTCCATGTGCTTTGGATTGGTCATTGGGAATATGAAGGAGCAGGGGCAGGCACTGAAAGATTTCTTTGATTGCCTCAATGAGGCTATTATGAGACTGGTAGCTGTGATCATGTGGTAAGTACTTCCGTTTACTCTGTTATTTTCCATGGTATGTATTTGGATTGTATTTGGGGAATTTTGTTTGTTTATTTTTACTATTGTAACCTGTGGCTCGATGACCCCAAATCTGAGGGGTGGTCTGGGAGACCTCTTCCTTAATTCCTGTCTTTGGCTTATTTTGCGCCCCCTCCCCCACCAATTCAGAATTTCCGCTGGGAAATCTCAGTTTATCACTTATGTCTAGATCTCCACAGGTATGGGTAAAGAGGCTCCCAATATCCAGGCAAGCACTTGAGGTTAACAGTGCCTAACAGGGATGCAGGCTAATAGCTCTTTCATCCTACAGAAAGTTCAGAAATCACAGAAAAGACTCTGCCCACAAATAGCCACAAAATAATCTTCAAAGAGCAAATACAATGCTCCTGCCGCTCTAACGAGTCCTACCATCATCATCTCAGAACCATTTAGTTCTCTAGTCTTAGAATATCATCCTGAGGTTTGGCTTCATAAAGGAAACTTGGTGTTGTTAAAATGACAACCCCTGATTTTCTGGTGAGTTTCATTCTGAAGGGCCTACTTGGTGGAAGGCACTGTGCTAAGTGCTTTACAAATAGGATCTTATCTGATCCTCGCCTCTCACTGAGAAGTAGGTGCTATTATTATCCCCATTTCACAGTGGAGGAAAGTGAAGCAGACATTGGCTAAGAGATCTGTCCAGGGGTTACATAGCTACTAAGTGTCTGAAGCTGGATTTGACCTTCAGTCTTCCTGACTCCAGGCCCAGTGCTCACTGAGCCACCTTACTGCCTGAAATATAAATCTTATGATACCTAACCTAAGGGCTTACATTCCTTCCCCAAAGGAAATAAATTTGCGGATGTTAAAAAGGCAACCCTCATTCCCACAGGGGCTGCACCATTTGAAAATTATACGGTAGTAATGGAGAGTAAAATCCAGATTTTTTTTTTTTTTGCTCTGCACTCCTCTAGCTCTAGAGTTACTTATTACACACCATAACTTGACTCTGGCATAGTGATGTCATTTTGGTCCTCTTCGAGAACAACGGACAACAACCCACCAAATTGCAGGCATTTGCTGGAGTTAGCTCAAACTACGTTCTGAAAGCCAGTTGTTAAATTTTCAGTGTTAAGCATTTATGCCTCAGAAATATGCCAGATTCACAAATCAGGGCTTAATATAGTGTTTTGTTGATTGTCCAGACCTAAGAAAGTGATAGACAAAATGTCAATAGTGCTGATTATCCTTGAAAATGTGTCATGGGTAATTTTTTTTTCTTGAGAGACCACCATAGTTACTGGCTGCATGTGTAAAAGTGAGTGAAACCATGTGCCTCTGCCCCTAGAGAAAAGTCCCCTTTCTTTCTCTTCTACCCCCACCCTAGGCCATTCTTAAGTTTCTGGTCTTTAGATTGTCTCAGTTTTCTCGGGATCTCTCAAAAAAAGGATCTGTAATTGACCCTTTCTAGATAGGCCCAACACAGAAGTGTGATTCCAACCCACAACAGCCTGAGCCAGATACCTTATCCTAATCATCTGAGACTTTGAAGGCATGCCAGGCAGATGTTCCCTAATCCTAAGAGACTGGGTCACTAACAAAGATTTACAAGTTGATCAGGGTCATCTTATCAAGTTGATCAGGGAACTCTCCTAATTAATGTCCTAATTAACTAAGTATTTGTTGATTGACTGATGTAATAGAAATACTTCTGAACTAAGTGGGATGGGGACTTGTGGGAATTCCATAGAAAGAATTCTCGAGGTCTGAAGATTTCTTGAAGCTATCAATAAGTCTTGGGCAAGTCACTTAACCCTGTTTGCCTCAGTTTCTTTTTTTGTAAAATGAGCTGGCGAAGGACATGGCAAACCACTCCTGTATCTTTGCCAAAAAAAACCCCCAAACACGAAGAGTTGGACACAACTAAAATGATGGAACAAATAAGTTTCCTTATTTACGTTTATATGTTTATTTTTTAATAGAATCAATTGGCTTCCCCAGTACAAGTGAAGGCTTATGCCCTATCTCCCCCATTTTTTGAACACAACTGAAAAAGAGCACAAAATCTGGGAAACAACTCTCTTCTATTTTTAAGTCCTTGTGGGGATCGTTACCAGATACAGGGAGGCACTCAGGGCATACTTTCAGATGCTGAATAAATTGAATTTAGCTCTAATGAACAGCTGCCAATCCAGTTTCCTCCAATCCCACAGAAATGCATGTAGACAAGCAGAGAGCAACAATGGAAACTTATCTTCAATGATGCCAAAACCCAAAAGATGCATCCAAGTAAAAAACACATTATATACACACTGGTGGGGGGAGGGGGAGCGTTGGCCATCAGGTGGCATACAGTGGCGTTTTATAGATAACTGGTCCAAATGGAACCTTTCTGGCACTTTCTTTCTCCATTAAACAGAGATGGGCTAGGTTTCTATAACCAGCATCAAAAAGGTGTCTAGGGCTGTTGTTTTTTATAGTCACCTCAGCACAACAGTCCTAGACGAGAAGAGGCACTTTCGTGTCTAACATGTGGCAAACATGGGGCATACCCCCTAACCAAAGCACCATGACCCTAAGAACCTCCGTCTTTGGCTTCCATGGGCCAGTCACAGGTGTCACAGCTCAAGTCTATTGGCAACCCAAGGTACCAAAGCCAATGGTAGCTTGGCTATCTAAGTGGAACATTCCTAAGAAATTATTTTGAATGTCAAGGGACAGTTTATTGCAAAAAATATTTTAACAATCTTAAAGTCAGGAAACAAGGACAAGGTCTCTACCCAGAGGGTAACATTTGCCTTCAGACCTACAACAGACACTTAGCTTTTTCCAAGGCACTGTGCTAGGCCTCATAGGGGTATGAAGATGGGTAAAAAGGGTCTATGAAAGCATTTCCTAAATCTCCCCAATTGTTAGCATTCTCTCCTGCCTCCTCAGTCATATATAGGATTGGAGAGACAGAGAGACACAGAGAGAGAGAGAGAGAGAGAGAGAGAGAGAGAGAGAGAGAGAGAGAGAGAGGTGTAATAAGCTTATGTGTATTTATATATGTATGTGTATATATAGTGTGTGTATATGTATACATAGATGTACATTCATGTGTGTAGATGCATATTTTATGTCTATATGTGTATGTATTATAGCATATGTATATATACATGTGTCTATGTGTAACTGTGTATGCATGCATTATGGATGTACCTGTATAGAATGTATACATATGCATATGTGTATGCATGCATTATGGATATATATGTATAGAATGCATACATGTGCATACATGTGCATATGCACATACACATATGTAGAGAGAGGGACATTAGTGGATATGCTGTAGCCCACAGTAAAATGTTAATTCCTTGAGGACAGAGGCTTTTTCTCTGTAACACCTAGTGAGGTTCCATATACCTAATGGGTGCTTAATAAATATTTGTTGAATTGTATTAGATTGGATCTGGCTGTCCCCAGAAGAGGCAAGACAATTTAAAGTCTTAGGTAGAGTTGTGGGAACTTCTTTTGTTTCATCCCTTTCCGGTATGAATGAATATCCAAAGTCCTCCCTGGCACCTAAGATGAAAAGGAATATTTATTTCTAAAGAAAGCACTCAGCAGCCTTTACGGTTAGAAATGCCTTTTGTCTTCTCTGCTCCCAAGGCCTTCAGAGTCCAGGGGAGGAAAAATCCATTTTTCAAGAGTTTGTACAGGCTGAACATGGATTTTAGACACAAAGTCCAGTCAGAATGTTGGCTCCACAGGAGAAGCTAACCCATGAGCCCCTAGATGGGAGGCCCCATTGAAATCCTTGTGGCACTACAAGTGAACATTTATCTTCATATTATTAAAAATCCCTCTACCTTTCATCTCTTTGATGAATGAAGCCCATTCAGTGATACTGAATGGACCTGGCTGGTTATCCTTTCCAGCTGTATATTAGCCCACACATTCTGCATTCTTATTAAATTCCATAAAACAGGTACTGCTGTGATTTCCTGGTCTGTGTTTTTAAAAGACTGTTGCCAACAGTAATAGATGTATTTTTTTATTCCCTCCCAAAGAAACCTACAAGGTTTCCCATAGATCCCTTTTTGTTGGCAATTTTATTCTGTTCTTTCAGAGATATCAGTTTTTATACACTGTGGCCAACATTGCCATTGGGATCCTATAGGTCACACACATCCACAGGGGAAAAGACTCTGCCCCCAGATCATTCTATCCTTTTTTCAATCAATCATTGTTTCTCACAGAGCCAGCAAGAGTAAGCTCATGAGCAACAGCTTTGGGGTCAGCAATAGCTTTACAGTTATTATTTATTGAATTAGACAACAGTGTTGTAGGTTGGCAAGTGTTCCAAGTTGGTGGTAGTCAAATCCTCCAGATCCAACAACTTTGAGAAATGGAAAATCCTACAGAAGCTTTTAAAGCCAGAATGCCACGACTCCTTAAATATGTGTTTCATTTCAGAAGGATAAGGCTACAACTAGTTTGGGGGAAGTGAGGCTTGGTCCCATGGGTGGTGAAATTTTGAGAGCACTAACAACACTTGCATGCCCTCTAGTTAGCAAGAGTAATTAGTCAAAACAGGAAAGTGACCAGATGGCATACTTCCTTCCACACTGCAGCTACAAAGCCAGTTTAGTGCCCTGTCACCTAGCTCCAGCCCAGCACACCCCCCACCATGGCAAACTTCCCAACAGCAACCCACTCATGGAGTTAATGCCTCTCTTCGTCTTTCTGTCTCTGTCTGTCTGCCTCTCTCTGTCTCCACCTAGCTCTTTCTGTGTCTCTCTCTCTGTATCTCTGTCTCTGTTGGTCTCTGTGTGTGTGTGTCTGTCTGTCTCTATCATACACACACATACACACACAAGATTAGCTAAAAATGTATAAAATTGACATTATGTAACACTTCCTTGACTTAATTGTACCAATATATTCCCACATCCCTTCTATGGAGCTGATGCTTTCCAAATTCTGGTCAATAATTGTGTAGGTCCTGGATTGTATATATTAGGGACTTGACACCAAGTAGACATTACCCAGGTGAGGTAAAAGGAGAGGGAGCTGCTTCTTCTTATTGGTTAGGAGAAAGAAAGGCAACATGGAGAAATTCTGAAAGTGAGGACAACCCTTGCCATGGAACAAGAAGAGAAAACAAAAATAAACACAGAAAGGGCATTTAGGAGATCTGATCAGATACTGAAAAAGAACCTGGACAGGAAAGCTTAAGAAGTCCATGATATTATCCTGTTATTTGGTAACAAACTAAGTGACCTGTGTTTTTTTAATTATATTCACTCATTTTGAACATACAGAAAGAAAAAATACAGAAATACAGAAAGAAAAAATAGAATATTTCCATGTACAAAGCACAACGTAAAATGAGGATTCAATATAAAACCATGAATTTCCATTTCACAGTTTACTTTTTTTTTGTAAAATCATGTAATAAATACTAGAGACTGTTTTCAAAGCTACCTTTTTTTCTGTGCTTCCTTCTAAGCTTTTTTTTTTGTTCTCTGCTGTGCCCTTTTTTTTCCTTTCCCCCTCCCCACCTCGCCCTAGAGAAGGCTGCCATTAGACACTAAATATGTATATGTATGTAAAACCACACTATATATACTTCTATTTATCAGTTCTTTCTCTAGATGTTGAGAGCATCTTCCTTTATAGGTCCTTTGTAGTTGATTTGAGTATTTATAATACTCAAAATGACTTAGTTCTTCAAAGTTGTTCTAAATGTCTTATTACATGGAAAAATAAGCTCTGAGTTTTATTATTCATCTTCTTCTGTGTAGGTACGCTCCACTTGGCATCCTCTTCTTGATTGCTGGAAAAATTGTTGAGATGGAGGACATGGGAGTGATTGGTGGGCAGCTGGCCATGTACACCATCACCGTCATCATCGGATTGCTCATTCATGCAGTTATCGTCCTCCCACTTCTCTACTTCTTGGTAACTCGAAAAAATCCTTGGGTTTTTATTGGAGGCTTACTACAGGCGCTCATCACGGCTGTGGGGACATCCTCCAGGTACCTGGACCTTCCCTGGCATTACTCCTATTCTAATTGAGGATTTAAGAGGCAGTATTGGTGTGGTTGGTCATGGAAAGGTCACTGGCCCGGGGGATAGACCACCAGAGACCATCTCAATAATCCCGTGACCTGGGCCAGGGTATTTAATTGCACCAAGCTCCACTTTCCTCATCTATAAAACAGGGATAATAAGGTTATTATGGGATCTGATGAGATAATATATGTGAAAGCCTTTAGGGAAAAAAATAAGGCTTAAACAGATGAGATGCATTATTATCATATCATTTTATCTTATTTTTATTAGCATTTTTTTTACACCTTCATTTTCAAATATGCCCCTCCCCAGCTATCACTTCTTAAAAAGAAAGAGAAAAAAAGTTATTTTGGTAAAAAAAAAAAGGAACATATTAAACCTGCCTGACAGCATATGCAGTATTACACACACACACACACACACACACACACACACACACACACACACACACCCATCTCTGCATAAAAAGTGCATTTTTCTCAACTTTTCCCTGGAGTCAACTTTGATAATTATCATTACACAGAGTTCAGTTTCACTAAGTATTATTATTATTAAAATTCATCTTGTATTTTATTTTTAATAATTTTTTTCCAATTACATGTATAGAAAGTGTTCAACATTCACTTTTACAATATTTTGAGTTCCAAACTTTTTTTTCTCCCTCCCTCCTTCCACTCCCCTTTCCTCAAGATGACAAGCAATCTGATATAGGTCATATATGTATAATTGTATTAAACATATTTCCACATTAGTCATGTTGTGAAAGAAGAATCAGAACAAAAGAGAAAAACTAAGAGAAAGAAAAAACAAACAACAAAAAAAGTGAAAATGGTATGCTTTAATTGACATTCAGACTCCATAGTTCTTTCTCTGGATGTGGATAGCATTTTCTATCATGAATCTTTTGGAATTATCTTAGATCATTGTATTTCTGAGAAGAGCCCCATCTATCAAAGTTGATCATCACACCATGTTTGTGTTTTATTTTAATAAATGGCCATTAGCTTGATATGGCAAGAAGTTTTTTTTAAAAAAAAATTTTTAACTTTCAGGAATATGAATTGATTTAATTGCTCCTATGATAACATCATTCCCATTTGCATTTAGTTGGGTGGTAGAAATCTGTCTTCTTTGGCCTGGAGGAAGGATGAGCTGCCTTCTCCTACCCTCTATTCTTTATCTTCCAAGTTTACGTGTGAAGGAAGAATAGTTATGTTCCCCCCAAAGTGACCCCTTGCAGAGAGAGTCATCTGCAGCCTAGCTGGTGGAAGGGACATACGTGTAAAGATCCCTGAGCTGCCATCTTGCTAATGACAGGGAATACCTACTCCTCTATTTAAAGGGAGACAACAAAACTGATTGCTTTGTTACTAGCAAGTTAGTAGCTGGCAGAAGAATCCTCTGTCATAGTACCATGAATGTCATATTCCCAATAATGCCCGTGTTTCTGGTCTTAACCCTGTTTAACTGTCTTTTAGTTCTGCTACCCTTCCCATCACTTTTAAGTGCCTGGAAGAGAACAATGGAGTGGACAAACGTGTGACCAGATTTGTTCTACCGGTGGGTGCCACCATCAACATGGATGGGACTGCTCTGTATGAGGCCCTTGCCGCCATCTTCATTGCTCAAGTTAATAACTTTGAACTGAACTTTGGACAGATTATTACCATCAGGTAATTATGTGTGTGTATGCATACATATATACACATATGTGTGTATGTATTTGTGCAGTATTTTCCTTAAGAATGGCTTTAAAAGATCGGAACAAGACCTAAGGTTTGAGGAATTAAAGGAGAAAAGGGAGAGATAGCAGATGTCACAAAAAACAAAACTTATTTACTGGTTAATTTTTTTTTTTTGGTGAGGCATTTGGGGTTAAGTGACTTACCTAGGGTCACATAGCTACTGTCAGGTGTCTGAGGCCAGATCTGGAGTCAGGAGGACCTGCGTTCTATCCAGCTCTATCCACTGCGCCACCCAGCTGCCCCTACAGGTTAAATTTTTTTTTAAGTTTCTGCTGTTGCTGCTGTGTCAATTTAGTTGTGTCTGACTCTTCATGACCCCATTTGGGGTTTTCTTGGCAAAGATATTGGCGCTTTTTGCCATTTTCTTCTCCAGCTCGGAACTGAGGCAAACAGGGTTAAGTGACTTGCCCAGGATCACACAGATAGTGTTTGAGGTCAGATTTGAACTTAGGTCCTTCTAACTCCGGAGCTGAAATTCTAACCACTGTGCCATTTACTTTTTTGTTATTCTAAACTTTTCTAACTTCAACAAACATGAACATTGCTATATACAAATAATAGAAAAGAGGATTACATATAAAATATGTAAATACATAATACATTTAACATGTTAATTTCAAAAGTTGTTCTGCTTAGGAACTAGGTGGCACAGTGGACAGAGACCCCTGGAACTGCAGTCAGAAAGACTTGAATTCAAACCCAGCCTCAGGCACTTACTAACTGTGTGACCCTGGACAAGTCACGTGCCTCAACTTTCTCAACTGTAAATGAGGATAATAATAATACCTACCTCCAAGGGTTGTTGTAAGGTTCAAATGGGATAATCTGTAAATCACTTAACCCATTGCCTGGAACATAGTAGTTGCTTAACAAATGTTCCCTTTCTTTTTGTGTCTCCATCTAAACTTCTTTGTGATCTCTTCTGTGCGTTTTTTTTAAAAAGTTTCAGTAGGACTCTTTTCTTTCTTTTCTTTTTGTTAGCGTCACTATCACTAGTACCCATTCCCTCTCACCAGTCCTCCGCCATCCTTCACCCAAAAAATAAACAAATAAAATTGTTTAAACCTTTCCTTATTACAAATATTCATAGTGAAGCAAAACAAATTCTATCATTGACCATGCCCAAAAATATATGTCTCATTCTACATCTTGAGTACATCACCTCTCTGTCAGGAAGTGAGTAACGTGCTTATCATGGATTCTCTAGAGTCATGGGTGTTCATTACATTGACCCGAGCTCTTAAGTCTTTCAGAGACTTTTTTCTTTATAATATTGTAGACATCATATATTCTCTTGGTTCTGCTCACTTCATTATGCATTATTTCATACAAATCTTCCCAAATTTCTCTGAATCCATCCCTTTCATCGTTTTTATGACACAATAATATTCTATTACATTCATAATTTTTGGCTGTTCCTCAATTGATGAATACCCTATTTTGTTTTGAGTTTTTTGCTCCAATGAAAAGTGCTGCTAATGAATTTCTTTTTTTTTAGTATTTGAGTCCTTTCCCTCTTTCCTCATATAGGCCTCAGAGTAGTATTGCTAGGTTAAAAGGTAAGTACCATTTTGTTACTTTTGGCATGTAGTTCCAAATCGTTTTCCAGAGTGGCTAGACCGATTTATAGCTTCACTGACAGTGCATTAGCAGGCTTCCCTCCCAGATGCCTCCAACTATTGTCGCTTTTAATTTTCATCATCTTGGCCAATCTACAGTGGCTGTGAGGGGGAACCTCATATGTTTTAATTTAATTTTCATTTCCTTTATTATAAGTAATCAGAGCAGTTTTCCCCCCTTTTCTAGAAGAGGACATGGTTGCATTTTAAGATTTTGCTTTGGAAAAAAAATACACAAAATGAAAAGGATGGCAGTTCAATAGTACCAAATTAAATTCTCAACACATTAATGAGATCAAATAGCATTCATAAATTAAGGAAACTCAAAGATAAATCTGGCCAAATGAAGATCTTCAATAACTAACTCAGAAGAACATACTGAATTAACAGGCACAATAAACAGTGTTGCTAATTGCGGGAAACGCTGTTAACGGGTACAGGGGATCTTTAAATTTAATAGGTTGGACAACACTTGATTAAGGATTAACATTTAGCTTTCAAAATTACACAAAAGACCCCCAACTCTCTCCTCCAAAATATGTGTAGCCACTTAAATTGTGAATGGTTTACCAGCAACAAAAAGAGGGAAAAAACCTTTAAAAATTAAGTTTCAATAAATACATCAACAGTTAAAAATCTAGCTAAGGCTATCATGCAAGACATTACACAACCAAGACCAACTCAATTGTATAATAAAGGCAACTTGCCTTCAAAATGAACTCTACCCTTGTATGTTATTCTTAAAAAAGCAAACATGATGAATTAACCCAGCTGTTCACTTGAATTATACAAAAGTAGCATGATTCAAAACGAAAATAAGAAACTGCCTACCAATCTCCAGCAGTAATAAATCACAATACACAATGCATACGGGAGTCATACCAGAGCGACAAACTCTTGTACGAAACAAAGATATTTTAATACCCTTAAAATCTACATTTTTTTCATTGAGACCATTCATGAAAAAAGATTCTCCAGTTAGAATTCAGACTGTAATTAATGCTTGCATCAAGGAAGCTATATTACAGCTATTTGCAGAGAGATATTTCTCTTCCCCAGTCACTATGCTGTCCTGTCTCTGCTTCTTTCCCGTCTCTTTGTGTTCCTGCTTCCAACTTTTCTTCAGACCGTGAGAACTGAATCTGTTGATATGATGTTGTATAAGCCATAGCATTTTGTCATTGGCCATCTGTATTATTAAACCAACTGGTAATGGATTAGTAAAGGCTTCTTGAATGAGCTCCTCACTCAGTCTGTCTGTGGTTGTGTGGGGCAGTTTTTCATAGAGCCATTGATAGTTTGGATTAGGAGCAGTTGAGGTGGTACGGTGGATAGAACACTGGGCCTGGAGTCAGGAAGACCTAAGTTCAAATCCAGCCTTGGATACTTACTAGTTGTGTGACCCTGGGCAAGTCAACCTGTTTGCCTGAATTTCCTCATCTGTAAAATGGGATAACAATAATACCTACCTCCCAGTGTTGTTGCAAGGATCAAATGAGAGAATATTTGTAAAGAGCATAGCCCAGTGCCTGGCACATAGTAGGTGCTTAATAAATGCTTGTTTCCTTTCTTCCCTTGAGAGTTGCCTGTTTGTATCCTTTGCCCATTTCTCCACTGGGGAGGGTTGTTGATTTTGATAAACAGGCATTATCAGAATTGGATTGGCTCATTCCTCAAAGTTATTCCTGAGACACTGCCAAGTAGTCGACCAGACTATCTCACATTTATTTATTTTTTAATCCAGACCTATGATTTTCATACATGTATGGAACTTCCAGAGTGGAAGCTTCCTAGATAAATTCAGGGTAGGCTCAGACTCCCCAGAATTAGATGCATTGTGCATGGGGTCATGTGTCAGAGATGGAACTTGAACCCAGGTATTCCAGACTCCAAATGTACTCCTCTCTACTAGTTTACAAAAACTGGCATGTGTATACCCTAGTACCAACCTGAAATCAAAAAGCTCTGCATGACTTTTAGAACCTCATCTCTGTTTGCATCACTCCTACGTATGAGACAGGATAGCTATCACCTAATCAAAGGGTCGGTTTACATTTTCCTAGAACAGTCCTAACTCCTGCTCCATGCTATGAAAGCCCTAAGCTAGTCATGTTGGCGTGGGCAATGTTTTTCAGTGTTTACTGTGCCGTGGGGATGAATTCTTTCCAAACATTGACACATTTTTCTCTGCACTTGGTGCTTCGTTTAACAGCATCACAGCCACAGCTGCCAGCATTGGAGCTGCTGGGATCCCTCAGGCAGGGCTGGTCACTATGGTCATCGTGCTGACTTCTGTCGGGCTCCCCACGGATGACATCACCCTCATCATTGCTGTGGACTGGTTCCTGTGAGTATGAGCCAAGAGCATCTCATGGGCTTCCAGAGACCCAGGCAGCAAGCAGCACAGCCACGTGGAGAAAGGCAGTCCAACCAAGGATTGCATGGCCCTTGTCTCTGCTGCCCAGCCCATAGCTAGAGATCAAAGGCTTCATTCATGAAGTCGTAAGATGCCATAGGTCTATACTTCCTTATCAGTCCATACAACATGGCTGGCTCTTATACTTTTCACTTAGAAAAGCAGTTTAGTGACCAGGAAACTGTTCTATATATCAGACTAAAATGTAAATCAGCACATTGTCCTGTGACCCAACATCTCAGATCAGCAACTAAGCCACAAAAACATTAATTTTCACACTTGGGCTAGGGCATCACTCTGCCTTTTGTTTCCTATTTCAGTGGCATAATTTGGTATACAGATGGTTTACATCTGAATTGAACAAGGAAAGGACAGAAATACAGTCCCTGGGAAGATGGATAACAGTTCTAGGACTAGAGCCATTTGTCTATAGGGTGCATTCTAGGGATAGAACTGCACCTCCCCGTGCCCTCACCTCCCTACCCCTGAGGCCCAAGTTTCCTCCTTTTCTCCACCCCAGTTGAATTTTTCTTCTTCATTCCTTCTATCACTCTTCCTTCCTCTTCTCAGGATGGGCATGGCCACCATGGCAGGATGGGAATATTCTGAACCATCTTGTGAACTGGGCTAAAGGTGTCCGCATTCAGCACAGCAAGGGCCTGGCTCATCTAGGTGTTTAATAAAGGCTTATTGATTAATTCAGTCCATCATAGTTATGTGACTGACCACATTATTGAAGACAGCTCCATAGATGGATAATCTGGAGGAATGAGATTAACCCAAGTGCTCTCAGTAAAGGGAGGAAGAGAGAGACAGAGACAGAGAGAGAAAGAGAGAGAGAGAGAGAGAGAGAGAGAGAGAGAGAGAGAGAGAGAGAGAGAGAGAGACAGAGACAGAGACAGAGAGACAGAGAGACAGAGACAGAGACACAGAGATGGAGAGACAGAGAGAGATTCTAGCACTGAACAAGGAATGAATTGCTATAGAGAGCAGGGGGAGTTTTTAAGTAAACATTTTATAAAGAATTTCACAGTATAAAAGAAAGTGAGTCATAAGAAAGGGAAAATAAGGAGGAATACTAAGGCAGGAGAAAGTCTCCAAGAAAAAAAAAAAGGAAAGAAAGAATCCCCAAAACTACTTCCATTAAATAGCTTCTGGTCAATTATGAGTAATCTGAGGGCAACAGCTACAGTTAGAAATACTTTACTTTCTCCTGTCTAACCAGTTACAAGATTTTTTCCTAAGTCACATGTAGAGGGGTATCACAAATAAATTAACCAGCTTTCTGAACAAGTTGGGAATCCAGTGAAATTCATTCATTATCATTCATCCATTCATTCATTGACTAAACAAAAATTTATTCACTGCCTATGTGTTAAGCATTGCTCCAGGTACAGAGAGAAATAAGTCTGCCCTGTAGTTTATTTATGGTTGATCAGGGGCCTGACCCATCCATTGATATACCATGTTGCATAAGTACATTAGAGTGTCAAAGTGGTATGAGAGGACCAACTAGGGGAATGATAAAAGACTTCATGGAGGGAGTGGTATTTGAGTTGTCCTTTAAGGAAGGGTAGGAACTTATAGGAGAAAGGGGAAGCAGGGCATTTGGGTATGGGGAGAACTGTGAATGAGGAGGGGAAAGGATCAAAGTGAGAAAAACTCTTTCTGTGACCAAAGGCAGCGAACCTGCATCGGCAACACTAAGGTGTTTTGAGGAATAGAGAAGAGCTGAAGGAGCCGATGTCACAGGCCTTCCCAGCTCACCTATTTTGTTACTGTTCAGTCATTTCAGTCATATATGACTCTTGATGACCCCATTTGAGGTTTTCTTGGCAGAGATCCTGGAGTGGTTTGCCATTTCCTTCTCCAGCTCATTTTACAGATGAGGAAACTAAGGAAAACAGGGTTGAGTGACTTGTCCAGGATCACACAGCTAGTAAGTGTCTGAGGCCACATTTGAAAGTAGGAAGATGAGTGTTTCAGACTCCACATCCAGCACTCTGTCCACTGAACCGCGTGGCTTACCCATCTATTTTACTATCTGTGTAACTTTGGGCAAATGACTTAAGTTGGCCTTCAGAAAGTATTTTAACTTCTCTGAGCCTTCATTTCCTTATCTATAAAATGAGAGCACTGAACTAAATGGCCTTTGAAGTCACTTCCAGATTTAGACCTATGATCCTATAATATTATGCTTCTTGGAACTGTGGTTTCATCATCTGTTAAATGAGCGGGGTGGAGATCATGGTTTTTAAAGTCCCTCCCAGCTCTACATTCTTTGATCCTGTGATACTAAATAGGAAACTTAATTCTCTTTGCTAAGGGTGGGGCATTGGGGGTAAGGGTGAGGGCCCAAAGAGAAATGAAAAGGTTGGACTAGGAGTCGTAAGTAAATGAGTAAGGGAGATGAGAAAAATAGACTAGAAGGATTGCCTAGCCCAAATGAGAGTCCACCTAGGGTTTTTGTTGATCAGTCATTTCAGTTGTGTCAGACTCTTTGTGGCCTCATTTGGGGTTTTCTTGGCAGATACTGGAGTGTTTTGCTGTTTTTCCTCCAGTTCATTTTGTAGATGAGGAAACTGAGGCAAACAGGGTTAAGTGACTGGCCCAGGGTCACACAGCTAGTAAGTATGTGAGGTTGGATTTAAACTCATGGAGACGAATCTTCTCTTTCCAAGCCCATTGTTCTATCCTCTTAGCCACCTAGCTGTTGTGGTGGGTCATAAATTTAGGGTAGTGAGAACTGTTCAATTCAACAGACATTTGAATTAAGTGCCAGCTATGTACAAGGCAAATGCTAGGCACTGAGGATACAGGGGACAAAAACAAAACAGACTCTGCCCATGTGCTTGATTTTGTAACTCTTTCTTGCATTGCTCAACAACCTTAGTCAAGAGTGGAGAATTCAAATGGCGGGAGCTGAGCAGGGCTGAGCAGGTTGGGGACAGCAGGGGAAAGTTAAGGGTTGTGCAAGAGATTCTAGGAAAGTGCCTGGTTAAAAAGACTATGAAAGTGGGCACATTGTCAGTGCAGTTGATTTCCTTTCTTTCTTCATCCTACAGGGATCGTCTTCGTACAACCACCAATGTTCTGGGAGACTCTCTTGGGGCAGGAATTGTTGAGCACTTATCACGACATGAGTTGAAGAACCGAGATGCAGAAATGGGTAATTCTGTGATCGAAGAGAATGAAATGAAGAAACCCTATCAGCTCATCTCCCAGGAAAATGAGACAGAAAAACCCACTGACAGCGAAACCAAGATGTAGACTGGCACAATGAAATGTAACTTTCCCACCCAGTTGCATCTCATTTTCCAGAAATCCCTTATCTTGCTCTCTCTTCCTGATTGGATAGCATTGAAAAATGATCAACAAAATTTTGATGGGGCCAAAATGTATGATTGTCATTCTGTTTCTCAAAACAAAAGGAAAAAAAATGGACAGTTATCTACTGGTCTTGCCTAGGTATGTGCAAAAAGAGATCAGAAAGGTCGTTGACCAAGTCAACAAAAAATGCAAGTGTATATGACACACACAACCCTGTAAATGTGATCTTATATTTTATAAGCTGAAAAGTCAAAATTAGGTAGAAGAGGCTGGAAATATCTATATTTTTTCTTAACTCCTATTTCAAAATTTCTCGACCCATAGAACACAATCCAGTTTAGGTCCCAAAATATAGCTTAACTTGATATAACTGCAACCAGATAGAAGATAGGCAATCAGAATCTCTCTTTATCTGGCTTGTGACTTCCTGTCTCATCTCACTAATAGAAGAACCTCCATCCAAGTGTATAGGAAAGGCCAGTTCAGGGGCTGTTGGCCATGTGTCCCTTTCTGGAATCTTGCAATAAAAGGCATTTCTTAGAGGGGGAGATTTGCAGGGAGAATATTTCTAAGGCAGAGATGGCAAGGTGGCAGCCCAGTCCTAGATCAGAAGCCATCTTTTCCAAACTGGCATCTGTACAAGGCACCAAGTAAGAGGTCATTCCAGGAGTGAAACTTCACCAAATGCTTTGGACAGGGAAAAGAGAGGAGTGAAAGGTCAAGCTTCACTTCCTTTTCCTCCCAATAGGGGGAATTTTGGGGGGGAGGGAGAGAATTGTTATCCACTATATCTACTAAGAATAGTAATTTAGAAAATAAAACTGAAAACTAATGGAGTGCTTAAGCTTTTACTGGCACTAGAAAACACATGAAACGCAAGATAGTGAGTGGATGACATGTTTCAGAAATGTAAAAAGAATTTTAAAGAGTGACATTATGGGTCTCCATTGAGGAATATAAATGAAAAGAATAAAAGGGGGGGAGATTTACTCTTTACTCTGATGTGTTTTCTGTTCAGTCCAAAATCATTCCCCAAGGAAACCTGAAGATCAAAATATCAATGTTATATATTTTCATTTTTCATAAATTTTGAAGCTGTCAAAATGGAAGAGGTTTATAATGTGGTTAGAGATAGGGAGGAGGTTGAAAGTTGAGTGAGGGCCTCTCATGTCAAACTATCTTTGTGATCAAATATTCACTGAATAAGGAAAGGATACATTTCTTTGAGTTAGAATTCCACTCATCAAATTGTTCACAATATTCGACTACATCATCCTTGTTCCAAGGAGAAATAACAAATGATCGGTGAGGTGTTGTTCATTGGACTTAGGGAGGGAGCATTAGTTTTAAACAAGGCAACTCCTCAGTTTTGAGTCAAGAGACAGGTATAATTCCCCCCAACCCCCCTTAGGAATATCCAGTGAAAGTGATCATCTGGGAGCTGTCAGACAATGCAAGCTGTGCTTGAGTCTGTAACTGAAAGCAGCAAAGGATGGATTTGCTTTTGCTAACAGGTTGACTATCTAGACCCACACATCCTCTGATATGTAATTAGAACTATTTTTTCTAGAAATTCAGTGCATTTTGTGCATATAAAAGGTTAATGTTAGTCTATACAGAGTAACATTTAATGATTTTTGTGGCTCTATTTGAAAAATATATGGCAAAGACTTCATGAAAGTGGCTGTCTTTCTATGACATCTATGGAGGAAAATGGATTGTGACACAACACGTATCTTGGGGTTTTTGTTCTTGTTTTTTTTATATACTAACTCTGTTTCTTATGGAAATCAGGTCCTTTAGAATAATCCCCTTCTACCCTTTATTGGCTTTGCAGGTAGATACATCCAGTGTGGACTGAGAAACATTACTATGTAGATGTATTTTCAATAAAAAAAAATAGTTTTACATTAGCTCACCTGTGCAGCGTGGTATTTTTCTTCAATAAGTAATATTGGCAATAAGTATTGGTAATAATTGGAAATAAGTCCTATGGTGGAGCAAAAGGTTCCTTTTTGGAAAGCTACTGGTAGGCTGGGTAAGGCTGACAGAGAGGAAGGAAGTGACTCTTGGAAGAGGTAGAGTAATAAAGTAGCATTCTTTTCTACAGTGGTATCCAACTCGAATAGAAAAGGAAGGGAACTAAACCATACAAAGGATTTCCTCTGGGCTCTAGATTTAGTTAGAAAAACCACATAGTGACATTATCTATGTTCTATTATATTTTTATTTTGTTAAATGTTTCCCAATTCCATTTTAATCCATTTATGTCAGTGTTTGATACCTCTGTTTTACTAGAGCTTGTCCATGTGCCATGCATGACTGTGAGTCAAATTTCTCTGACGCACCCAATCAATCCCAAAATGGGATTACAAAATTATTCTTCTTCCCCCAAAGTTGTTTCCAATCTGACTATCCAATTAAATCTGTCTTTGCAATTGTCATTCCAGTGCAGCTGGTGACTCAGGAGATAGAGCACTGGGCCTGGATTCATAAAGACCAGAGTTCAAATCCAGCCTCAGATACTTCCTAGCTGTGTGACCCTGGGCAAGTGACTTAACATCTCTTTTCCTCAGTTTCCACAACTATAAAATAGGGGTAATAATAGCACCTACCTCCAGGGTTTTTGTCAGGATCAAATGAGAGAATATTCATAAAAAAGCATTTAGCTCAGTGCCTGGCACATAGTAGGTGCTATATAAATGTTTATTCCCTTACCCCCCCATTCACCAATGGTGTATGATCATAATCATAAGTCATAGTACTTCAGGGTCTAAAAAAGTGCTTTACAGATTGTATCTCAGCTGATCATCACAACAACCCTAGAAGATGTTATCCTCATTTTACAGATCTGGAAACTAAGACTTGCAGCAGTTAGGTGACTTGTCCAGTGTCACACAGCTGATAAGTGTGTGAGGCAGGATTCAGTCAGGTCTTCCTGACTCTGAGCCCAGCATTGTATCTAACCACTGCACATCCTGGCTGCTTTGAAGGCAAAGTTACATAAGGGGCTAAATAAAATCTAAAGAGATCTTTCTTTCAGAAGGAAGCATTATGCCAAAAAGCAGCTTTTTAAAAAATTTTAAGGAAACTAGAAATCCTGTGGCATTAACATTGTTGTTTGTATGATGCTTCTAATGAAGAGTTAGGAGACAAAATTATTGATTCATGAGGTTAGATGTGACCTCCAGTGATCATCTGGGCCAAATGCCTACCTTCAGGAAGGATAAGCCACCCCATATGGGTGGACATCTAGATTGTCAAGAAAAAAAATGCCACAACATCTCCTGGGAACCCACTGTCCTGCTGGCAGTTTCTTTATCAAGGATCTAAGATTATAAAATTTAGAGATCATCTAACCGCTGTCTTCGTTCTGCAGATAGAGAAGCCTCACTAAGGGAAGGAATGTGACCAAGTTCATAGAGGTAGTGAGTAGCATAATCAGAATTTGAACTCGGGCCTTCTGATACAAAATCCAGTATTCTTTATAATACTGATAGGCTTTGAGTTCATTTTAACTTATTTATATTTCCTCAAGGCCTTGACAGTGATCAAGACCCCACTGGTCACCAGGTTCTGTCAGATATATCGCAAAATCCCAGAAAGTCTTTCCAGCATTTCCATTTCCCAGCCCTAACTTTCTCTTCTTAAGCTCTTTCCTTTTTTTCCCTCCGCAATACTTGCATCAAATATTTCCCCATTCAAGACCAGCTGCTTGGCAGACTAGATAACGAGTTGGCCTCACTGTCTGGAGGAGTTTTGACCTGGGTTCAAAACATTCAGACTGCTTGCGTGGCCCTGAGCAAATCACTTAACCTCTCAGTGTCCCAGACAACACTGTAAGATTAGAATTTAGAATTAGAACCATTGCTGATTTGCATTGGTAGATAGAATTTCCCCAGAAGGAGTACCTTACACCAAAACAAACAAACAAACAAAACCAGAAGCCCTGACCAAAACAAAACAAAACAAAGCAAAATTTCATTCATGGCAGAAAACAATATTCTGGTAACTATGCTGAAAGGATCAAAGGCAAATCTGTTTGTGGGAAATTGAGTGGAGGGCTCATTTCTCTGCCTGAAGGGCTTGACTGCTACATACCCCAAAAGTGAAGATTGTATTCTATTGTAAACTGGGACTAAGGAAGGCACCATTTCACTCTAGAAGGACCACACTGAGTCCTTGACCCCAGGGCCCATTGCTAGCCATTCACCCCTTCCACAGCCCATTTTCCTTACTATAGGATCAATCTGGGGGTGTTCTCCAGGAGAGAATATACAATGTCAAGCTCTGTGCAGCCAAATCCTGAGGAACTGAGCAATTTTGCTGGTGTCATAGCCAGGGCAGGGTATGAATGAATGGACAGAGAGAAGGGTATAGATTCATGTCATAAAGAAAGATAGAAGGAAGCCCACAGGATAGGACACTGGAAGACTAAATTTTAAAGGGGGAGGGGGAGGAGGATGATGAGAGACCACAAAGACTTGAGTCAAACTTCCAGTGGAAAAAATAAGTAACAGAAGTAGCAATCCACTGAGTGGCCACAGGTTGGAGCCCGAGCTCATATCTGGCTTCATTGGAGCTCACCACAGCAGGAAAGAAGTGTGCTAGTGCAAAATAAGTGGAGTTGTTGGGAGGGAGGGTGAGGAAGGGGAGGAAATCATCTAGTGATTAGACTAGATCCCCTTCTCTGTAGGACAGTCTAACACTCATTTAATTTGATTGTGATGGACTACTACTGCACTATAAGAAATGATGAGCTTGGTGATCTTAGAAAAACATGGATAGACTTGTATGAAATAATGAAGAGTGAAATGAGGAGAACCAAGAGAATGTTGTATACAGTAACAGCAATATTGTTTTAAAAACAACTTTAAGCAACTAAGTCTTTTTGACTACAAATACCCAAATTAACTGCTAAGAATATATAAAGGAAGATACTTATCTGCATTCAGAGAAAGAACTGATAAATAGAAGGATGTATAGAATGATTTTACATATCTATCTATCTATCTATCTATATACATATTTGTGTCTAATGGTAGCCATCTCTAGGGTGGCGGAGGGAGTGAGACGGAAGAAAAGGGAAAAAAAGAAATGTATATGATAACTTTATTATATATTTAAAAGGAATAGCAAATTGTACCAATAGATTTGCAGTTTCATGTGCAATCATTTTTTTTATTACATTATGTTATGGAAATGCTTATTTTATTCCATAAATTAAGAATAAATAAAATTTTTCTTTAAATTTCTAAGTGGACACACTGTGTCTACATCTACACATGATAAACAAGTGGTGAAATGAGGCTTTTCCAACCTCTAAAGTCAATCAAAGAATGGAATCACAAAGAACAGGACACAATTGAAAAACGGCTGAAAAACAAAGTCCATTTAAAAGGGCAGCTAGGTGGCACCATAGTGCACAGAGCCCCAGGCCTGGAGTCAGGAAGACTCATCTTTCTGAATTCAGATCTGGCCTCACTCATTAGTTGTGTGACCCTGGGCAAGTCACTTAACCCTGTTTGCCTCAGTTTCTTCATCTGTGAAATGACTTAGAGAAGGAAATGGCAAACCACTCCAGCATCTTTACCAAGAAAACCCTAAATGGGGGTCAGAAATGGCTGAACAACAAACAGCAGCAAAGTCAATTTGCCTAAACTTCGCATCAGAAATGGTTTGAAGTCACCTTGCCAGTAAGAACAGATATAAATGTATATCCCTATTCAGGCCATTATTCTCAACCCTTTCTCAGGAACATAGAAATAAGAACTAAAATTGTGGTTTCATTAGAAAGGGAACTTCCAAGTAAAGAAATTCCCTTTTGTAATGCAGGTTGACATCTTCTCTGCTAGTTTGTGTCAGAGGCAGAATTTGAACCCAAGTCTCCCTGACTTCAAGACTGACTTTTTTTTTTTAGTTAGGCAATGGGGTTAAGTGACTTGCTCAGGGTCACACAGCTGGAGTTATGTGTCTGAGACCAGGTTTGAACTCAAGTCCTCCTGAATCCAGGGCCAGTGCTCTATCCACTGCACCACCTAGCTGCCCCAAGACTGACTTTCTAGCTATTATGTCATACTGTCTCTTAAACCTTGTGCCCATAATTTTAAAACATTGACTAATTGTTTACTTCAAAAAAAAAGTTCCATTAATAACTTTCGTTTTTAGGATAGTCATTTCCAGATTATACACCACTATCCTTTCTCCCTCTGTTCTCCTTGCCCCCACCCCACCCAAAAATACTGCCTTGTAAGAAAGAAAAATAACTAAACAAAGCCAACTGACACTGTACAACCAGTTCTGGCATCAGATGCAACCAACCTTTTCCACAACTGTGGTCTTCTACCTCTCCAAAGAATGAGGCTGGCGAATTTCCTCATGTCCTCTCTGGGGATCAGATCTTGGAGTTTAACCATTTCTTTTTGAAATCTCACATCATGGTCCTAACTAATTAAAAGATTATTTCAATTATTGACGGTTGAGGTATTTTCAGATTCACATCTGTTTTTCTTTCCTCCTCTCATTTTTTTCCCTTGATGCTGACACACAAATACACTCACACAATCTTTTCTGGCCTTTTTCTCTAATCCAATTCAGAGCTAAAAAAAAAATCTGACACATATTTTCATTCCAAATAACATACACACATTTTTTTCATTAAGGGTGTACTTTTTTTTAATGTTCAAATATTTTTTAAAAAGACACTTTTCAAACAAAACAGTTTTTCAGTTGCCAATATGATTGAGAATGTGTCTTCTTCCAGTGTCTCAGTGGGAAATAATCCTGACTCTAGTGCAAAACCATCACATGCAACCTCCTACTTTAAGCACACAATGGAATAGCTTAAACAAATCATAGCTCAATTTATAGAAGTAACAGCTCCTATTTCTATAGTAGGATGGAGGCAGAGCAA